ACAAATTGTTTAAATTTTAACGTTTAAATGAAAATAACCAAAAGTAAGGCATCGATATAACTTTTGTTTAAAAACTATTCTACCTCCACTAATTTCCACGAATGAATATTTTTTGATCAGTTGAATCATATTTTTAGAATATATATTATATATATATTTAAATATTATTATAATATGTGTAGCTACTAAATAGCATTTTAATAGTGCGTTATTATGAAGCTGAGCATATACATTTAACGTGCGTGCCACCGGAACATATTATAAAGAGAATAATGAAAGAATGTTTATAGTAAGCTGTAAGCATTGAAAAGCTATATGTGGGATGAAGGTGAACGGGTGTAAAGGGTGGTCTCGTCATATGAACTCAGTAACTATACATGTTCGTTTTTGATTGCGTGTTTAATAAATCGATATTTATATATAATTTCTTTGTTTTCTGTCAGCTATATTTTTTTTTATTAAAGTGTTTTTAAAGTGATCGAATACTCCGTAATTCTATAACTTATTAATCCTACAGGAAAACGGTTGTCTGCCAACTATTTGAACTAATTATGGATGGTTAAATCGAATCAAAAATATGAATATTCAGTATTCATTATCGATTTTATACCATGGCCAATCATTATGAGATAATATAAAAACTAGCTACATCACGAATCAACGTTTTCATAAGACGATAAATTTGTAAAAATGTGTAATAAAATGATTTTGAAGTGAGATTAAAATAATTTTATTAGTTTTTCAAATACAATGATTTTTTGTATTTAATATATTTTTTTTATTTTACAAAGAAATTAAAAATCTTAGTACCTATCATATATTATGTTGATTCAATATAATAAGGTAGCCAATGCCCAGCCCTATGGTAATCATGTTTGATATAGCACTAAGTATACATTAAAATACAGTTAGTGTCCAATTTGGTTGCATCTGAGTTTCGTCCCAATAACCTTTTTTTATACTAATTCCGTCCCGGGTAAAAAAAGTGTAAACAAGAATTCCGTCCCTAGTAACAAAAAGAATATCTTAACAGTTACAATATTACTATATCTGCAGTACAATAAAAAATAATAAATCCAGACACGCAGACGCACAAATAATAACTGGAAAGTTTAAAAGTTAAAAAGTATTATCTTTATTTATAAATAATACACAATTTGTATCTTAGTTGTAAATTTGATTCTATATTAAATATTAATATAGTTTAGAAAATGCAAAAAAGGACGGAACTCGTATAACTAAATAAATTACATGAGATGGAACTAGTACATTCATTTTAAAAACCCAGGATGGAACTATATTTTTCTGTTATAGTACCTATATCCTTAAATTCAAATCTTATGTTTGAGACGGAACTCGGATGCAGGCTTCAATTTAGTTTTTGTAATCTAGTATTATAATAGTATGTTGTTTAGTTTTAGTAATATATGTCAGCAGTACTCAACCTTTTCATATCCGCATACCATTAACACACTTTGACATTTTTCACGTGCCAGTTGGTATTATTATTCAACTTTTTTTTTTTACTTATCAAAAAATAAAATGTGTACGTTATTTTCCATGTATGGAACTTTTTATTATTAAATATACATAATTATACAACCATTCAATAATCAAAAGTAAAATTAAATATGTATGCTATTATTTTTATTAATATTTATAAATTAATAAACTGCATTTTAACTAATAACTTTTTTTTTCCACGTATCAAAAAATGTCTTCGCGTATCACCTATTAGCTAGCCGAGTACCATTAGAAGTACGCATAACACAGGTTCAGAATCGCTGATCTATATAATTTGTTTATATTAGGTATATACTGATAGGTTTAATGTTTACCATTATTTGATTTTTGGGCTTTCGCATGTACAATGAAATAAAAATAAATAAATATCTATACGCAGGGGCGGCTTAAGGAACTTAAATGAGGGAAGGACACGTGCAACCACGGCAAGTTCATTGTACACGCAATATAAAACTCTGCTATTCGTTATGTGGTACAACTGAAGGATTACTGAATACATGTTAAAAACCTTAATTCAAATTTCAAATTTTAAAATATAATTATTTACACTACAAATTTTATTATATATTAATAAATACAAACTATTTTTCAATATTATGATATGTTCTGGTGTACAGACCCTTTGAATTTAGTTTCCAATACGGAGTGTCTATCATCATTACTCTACAGCTTGTTAACGGAATATTCGTTACAAATTTACGAATTTCGGTGAAGACTACTTTTAAAAAAAAATAATCGATTAAATTAATTAATCGAAACATCTGAACAGCCCTAATTATACATTTAACACAATAGTAGAATGTACACATGATAATTTATTTTTAGTAAACCCAACATGAAATACCACCCACCTCGATTTACTAATAAAGCCCAGACCCTTTTTATGATTTATCTGCACGCCATTGGGCACTCAGTTTACTATTTTGACTTAAAAATAAATTATATTCAACACACTATGTATGCCTGCAAACTATAATGAATAAATATAAACAATAATCTATAATAATTATTGATTTTAAATATGTATTTATATGTTATAGAGTTTTAATTTCATGAAGCATTTTAAACAAGAGTTACACAATATTAAAATGTACAACATCAAGTAAGCCCAATTAATAAAAAGCTTTTAAGAATATTTAAACCGTTACGCACTCTGCGTAATTGCGTTTCTATTTCCTGTGAAATATTTTATACTTATACTCTGTATAGCAATTTGGGTCACGTGTCTTGAATATAATAGGTAAGTATAGATATATACAATGTGCTCGAGTTTAATAATTCCGGTCGAATTACTACATAATAATTATAAGTATTTTTGTACAAATTCATAACTCAATGCTATTATAATATTTAAATCAATCTAGCAACTAGAATTAAGGGAATGATGAAGCGAGCATATTAGGTTGAAATGTACAATTTCCTGCGATCAATTATGGCCAATACTTTGAAACACACTTTATGGAATCAATATAATAAGTATAATAATAATACATATACTGTACATACTGAATAATTCGGCAACATTTCTTTTTATTGTACTTACATATGATAACATAATAATCGAACTTTGTTCAAAATGCAGCGGAATAGAGTCTTTTTAGAGAGTAGGTATAAGTATTGAATTATTTTATAATGGTTTTAAGATTAAATTTTAATGAAAATAGTAAATATTTCGGTCTTTTAAATCATATATAAATGACTTCACTCATAATTGTATTTCATTAATCATGGGTTTTTTGTTGCTTACAACTGTAAATTAAATAACTTTATGTATCCTATACCTTTTTCCAACTTCCCACCTTCAACAGTGATGCACCCATCAGCATTATTAGCTCCTTTTTTTTTTAAATGTAACGTTAGACCAATAGTTATTGTTAAGTATTTAACCCCCATTTTTCAATATTATTATTTTTAAATTATCTATATAATATATAATATATAATAAAATAATAAAGTAAAAATAAAATTATTAAATTTATTTATAAATATATATAATATACAGAGAGTGATCCGTTTAAGCGAGTACACTTGATATCTCGGAAAGTAAATACTTTTTTCAATTTTTTTTTTAAATTTAAGAAACAAGCTGAACTAAAATTTAATATTTACATTATTTAATATCACCCTAATTTTTGAGGGTGGTGAAACGAATACCTACTTTTGATTTTCAAATGGCAACCTATATTAAAAATTTCATAATTAGATGGAGTATTAGTTAAAATAAATTGCGTGGCGTTCTAAAATTTTAACACCAAAATTATATTATGTAGATTGGTACAATAAGAATGGCCAATATTAAAAAAAAAATTGTATTACAATAATTATTATGAACTTAAAGTTAGATTTTTGAAAATAAATTTATTTATAAACTTAACATTTTTTTCACTTAATTTTTTTTTACAGTTTTTTACATTGTTACCAAGCCACAGATGTATTTATGTATACATATATGCATATATATATATATATACACAGGATGATTCATTAAGCGTGCTCCCTCCATTTATTTTAGTTATAATTTGCATGTATTCAAATTCTGATTTTTGGAATTTTTAAGTGTAGTTAAAGCCGATGTTTTCGAATACTTAGATTTTTCACAACATTTAAGGAGTTTTTCAAATGAGAACCTAAATTTAAAATTCTATAAATTGATGGGAGTATTTTTTTTTTTTGTTAATAAATATTATTAATATTATTATTACGTTAAATACATGTTGGTGTTAACATTTTTGATTTCCGTCAACCTGTTAACGAGATATTCCACTTTTAAGTTTACGTAGGAGAGTAACGGAGTATCATTTGTGTGGCGGCACGGCGCACGGCGTTTCATTAATATTAATATTATCGTTCGCGTTGAAACAAATAAATTTGTTTCTAACACGGGCGACTAGCGCTATTTTCAGTGTTGTTGAGACACAGAGTTGTATGTACATTGTTAAATAATTTAAGCTGATAATTTATACGGATTCAAAAGTAGAAATTTTGATATCAGAAATTCAAAAAAGCCTATATTATGCAACATGAAAGATACAAATTATCGTAATTGACTTTCAGTAGCTACAACTAAAAGGAAATTGTGTCTTCAAACGTTGAAAGGCTATGTAAGCTGATATATTATAAACATTATTGTAAAGATATTATATCAGCTACTTGGCTAATATAAACTACTTGCACAACACAAACCATCAACTTAAAAACAATTGAAAACACATTCTGGCTTGCCGATTGCAGACCCGTAGGCTCTGAACTGAGGACAGTCTCTCACTCGCACGCGTGAAATATCGCGTCACCTACCTGTCCGCTAGAGCAAAATCGCGTTCACCTGGGACGTAACGTAAAATGAGATATCATTCGTTTCTCCCCGGGTGATTATTTAAAAAAAAAACATTTATAATTCTGCAATGTTGAGTTGTTGCCTACACTGTTAAGTATATTGTTTGATAAAAGTTTAAGTGATAAATGATATCACTATACAACCGCCATCGGCATTATTTTGTGTTGTTATTTAACATTTAATATTTTGTTAATAATTTTAGTTGAGTAACATATTTTTCAAATCCATTTTAATTAATTTGTTAATTTATAACCATACACTCATCTTATTCTATATAGTTTTACTACGTGTACGTAAAAATTATTTGTTTAACACATTCAATATTCTTGTTCGAATTATTTTATTCTACTAAAGTACTGTAATACATAGTCATTATTATTTTTTTAGAATAACTTTCTCTAAAATGAGTCGCAAAGAAGCATTAACACAATTTATACAACAAATTCATGGTCGTCCAGTAGTAGTAAAATTAAATAGCGGAGTTGATTACAGAGGTATTTATTAATTTATAACAAATAATTAAATGTTCAAGATTTATAGTTTAAACATATTTCATATTATGAAAACAGTTTTAAGCTTTATCATTCTTTATAAAAATATAATTTATTAGGTGTCATGGCATGTATAGATGGTTACATGAATATTGCTCTTGAACAAACTGAAGAATACATTAATGGGGAACTTAAAAACAAATTTGGAGACTCCTTTATTCGTGGTAATAATGTATTATATATTAGTACACAAAAAAGAAAAGGAGTGTAAGATTTTATAAATAATGTAATATAATTATTATTATTAATAATATAATATTCCTATACTTGTGAAAAAAAATCATTTATATATTTATTATTTAAAGGCTTGTGTAATAAATATTAAGTAGCAATTAATTTGTTGTTGATTTCAATGCCTTAACCATTATAATTATGAGATACAAGGTCTTAAAATGTTGATATTTTGTTTGTCTGTCTCTATCACAATAACAATATCTCATTTTTAATTTTATATTTATACAATGTAATCATGATCGAAATAAAAACCAAAATTAAATTTTAATGTGATTAGGAAATTAGAAAAGTTATTAACAACGATCATTTAAATATGCTTATTAGCACAGAAAACTGGGATTGTATATTATGAAATATGGATATTAATAAAACTTGCGAAACAAAAAATTAAATGTACAGAAACTTATTAATTTATTAGCTAATGTCATTAAGAGTTCTAGGATTAAAAAAAAAACTTAAAGTATGTTTGAGTGGATAACACAAGGTTTAGTTGGCTATTTAGCTTTATTAAGAAAAGAAATATCTTATTGCATAAACTACGTTCAAGACCATTTGATTGATAGAGAATTAAAGTTAAAATGTAACTATTATAGAAATTTATTAAAGATTTTAATAAATAGTGCTATAATATTAGGTATATTACCAGAAAAAAATTATATTAGCAGGTAAAGACTCAAAATTTATTTGGAAAATTTTAAAAGACGAGTTATGTAAAAAAAAAAGAAAAACAAATTATAGGGTATTCAATAAAAATATATAAATTGATAATGAAAGAAATATTTATGATGCATTTAATACAATTTGTGTTAATATTGGTTCCAATATAGAAAATAATATAAAATTAAATGACTTAAAAGAAGTGCCATGGACCTTTTTAAATAACAATTGTAAAATTATGGATATACTTTTTATTAATCCAATAGAGCATCATATTAATAGAATTAAAGAAAAAACATAATTTTTTGAGTATAATGATTTAATTAATTATGTATTTATTTATAATTAATCTTTTCAAAAAATCAGTTTCGATTTTTGGCTTGCAAGTCAACTAATGATGCCTTATTTGTGGAAAATGAACTTTTACGTGTAAGCATCAACTCGGATAATAAGATATTAAAAATTTTTCTAGTCATAAAGAAAGCTTTTGTTATGTTAATCATAATATTCTGTTAAAATTTGTTGTATGCGGCTATGAAGCATCATCTATAACCTAATAAAATCGTATTTATCGAACTCAAGTGATCAAAATAAGCAATTCTTATGGTAATCAATTTAAAGTTAAATATGGTGTTCTGCAGGGAATAGTTCTTGGCCCTATATTATTTATTATATACATAAAAAGTTTATTTAACTCACCTACAGTAAATGCAAAAATGATTAGTTCTGCGAATGAAACAGTAATATTATTATCTAATAAAAATATAGAACTGTTTTATGAAAACTAATGTTATCATACGAAAAATAAAAGACTTGGCTTGACAGTAATTAGAATTAAATAAAAATAAGTCAACATATATTTATTTTAAGATTAACTAGAATGTTATTAACACATAACACATAATACGTTTTCATTCATCAAACTGTAATGGTTTCTGTAAAAATTGTATAGTTTTGGAACAAGTAAGTAGGTGCTATTAAATATTTGGGTATAACAATTGATAATAAATTAATATAGAAGAATCAATAATCAATAAATCATTAATTTAATTAACACTTTGTAAAAATGTTTCAATATTTTGAATGAAATAATATTTATTTTTAATACTGATATTAAAATTACTATATTTATCTTCAGTCCAATTATTTGTCAACTATGGAATGTATTTGGCGACAGGTTTATGACTCGCATATTTATAGACTAAAAATTACCTTAAATAGGTTAATTAAATTTGTATTACTTAAGTCAATGTATTATTTACATAATAATAATAATAGTCTAGTATATTCTGAACTTAATTAAATATTCAAATTTAAACATAGTTCACCACTTACATAGTACACAACATAAAGAAAACATTAAACAGTTCAACATTATAAAAAGAAAATTGGAATCAAATGTTGTATATCTATTGCTACTCAAATATGTAGATTATTTAAAATCAATTTGCATGAGTTTATTAATTTAAATATCTTTATGTCTTATGAAAAAACTTGACTTTCCAGAGATTAACCTTTTGTAAATTTTAATAATGTGTATTCTTAAGGATTTCTTTATTGGGTATTCATTTTTTATTGTATGTTTTATATTTTAACTTAGGCATATAACTTTTGTAAACATGTTTTTATTGTAATGAACTTAAACTTTTAATCCCCACCACAATCATTTTATGCTTTAGGAAAGTTTGAATTTATTTATTCTAATTAATAAATTTTGATATATTGATTTTTGCATGGAATAAACATTATTAATTATATATATATTTTTTTTTGTCTTTAACTTTACTAATTCATTTTATTTTGAAGTGTACTGACATTATCAATCATTTTTTTTAAAAAAAATCTGAATTACAAAAATTATATGTGAGTGTTGATATTATTTATTTTTCACAATAAATAAAATAAAATAATAAACTTCCATATTTGAATAGGTAGATAATTTATATACATGAACTTGGAGTACCTATTTCTTAAATACATCAAATTATTTACTTAAATATGACAACAAAATTTTATTTACATTGCTTAGAAAAAATGTCCATTTTAATTTTTTACGCTTTAAATCTTCAGAACTGGCATAAGACATGAGCATAAATCTTAAGCATAAAACTTTTCAAAATTAAAAATAATAAAAATACAGTATGTGAGTATAAATCTCTCAAAACTGTTAAGTAGAGGCGGTAAAAATTTCAATAGAAAATCAAATTTCCAATTACTCATATTATTAGCTATTTAATTTTTTTCTTTAGTAATTTCGGTTAGTTAAAATGGTTTTTTTCATGTAATACCTACCTAAATGATACATATTTTCCACCTAGTGGTAAATAATGAAAATGGGCTATACTCTTTCAAAAAAATATATTTTAAATATTATTCTAATGAGTAAAATTCTTACTTTTTCACGAAATACCTTAAAAGATCTAGTCAATGGTATTTTACATGCATTTTTTTGTAAATTTGTAAGAGTTCAAAAATAAAAACCTGACAACAATAAGTAAAAAATCCTTATTAATTTACCAAACATCGCTTTAAATCATTTTTTATTGAAATTATTTATGGTAACTTCTAAGATATAAATCAAATTACTCTATGTATATTATCTTTCTAACCGTCATACAACAGTGACCTACTTATGTTGCAAAGTATAGCTAGTTATTGTGGTTAAACTAAAATAAAATGGGTTTTAAAATGTTATATTAATAATTGACAAAAATGCATAGTTTTAAATTGGACTCTTAATTGGAAATTAATCACAGAAAAACAAGAATAAATTTTAATATAAATGCAATTTCAGATTTAACCACTATGAATAGGTTTGTAGACAACCACTAACCTATTTTGTCGAGCAAACACAGTGCATTTTCTAATTTTAAAATAATTTATGACACACCCTAAAGTTCAAAATGTTTGATGAATTTTTTTTGTTCATTAAAAATATTAACCTCTCAAAAATTCTATTTGGAGTAGGTCTCTACTAGTTAATTCTTATTATATAAGAACTGTAAAATATGACCTTGCCTACACATAAAAAATCACTAATGAGTTTTAAAAATATTATTTGTTTTGTTATGTAGCTAATTTTTAACTCCATAAAACTATATCACTATATAAATATGCTGAAAGTTACCATCATGCACTGTAAATTTGTTTGCGAATGGCATTCACACTGAATTCCAAACAAACAGAGGTCTAGTTCAAATTCCAAACATGAATTTTTTTTTTCCGTGACTTACAGTTTTCACCCCTGTACAATTAACTGTTGTTGCCCAGTAATTTATTTTATTTAAAAGTTAAGAAAATACACAGTGATAACTTTACAACAATTAATAAATATTCAATATTTTATAATAAGATGACAGTGAGTTTTCTGTTGTTATTGGTATGCATAAAAACTACTGCACGTCATCCAGACCGATTTTCAATATTATGGATTTCCAAAAAAAAAAAAAAAAATTGAAAATTGGTTCTGTAGTATTTAAAATTAGGGATAAGAATAAAAAAAACACAGTCTTCATATAATAGTAAAATACAGTTTTAATTAATTGTTGTTAAATTTTCACGCACACACGCAACTAACTTGTTTAAAAGTAAATAACCAGGCAATAACAGTTAACTGTACAATGGTGGAAACTGTGATTCCTGAGAAATAAGAGCAAAAGTATAATAATTTTTTTTTAAAATTATTTTCATTCAATTATGTGCATGAGCAAGGTGTGTGGTGCAGCTAGTAATTAATAAATCAGAGTGGATTATTTTGTTTGTCTTTTTACATATTTTCTTTAGTTAACTTACAGATTCTAAATAAAGTTCTAAATTATTATGAATATCTATTTGAATTTTTATTTAAATCAAACTATTAATTATGATAAATAAAAGAAAACTATTTCTAATTTCATATAATCTTAAATTGCACTTTTGGTACATCATTTTTTTTGTTTTTTTTTTTTTAAGTAAAACAATGAAATTTATTGATTTTAAAAATGTGTTTTTTCATGCTGTATGCAATACATAATTTTCTAAAAAAAAATTAAATGTAGACTATGGTAGGTAAAAATAAGAATAGGATATTAATACTCAATTGTATACTATTAAAAGATATAAAATTAAATTAAATATAAAGACTGCAATGTGCTATTATAAGTTAATTGTAATTATTCAATCATAACAAAACTAATTCTAATAAAAAAAAACTTAGAATTTGATATTCAGTATATTATTATAAAAATTAGGTACCTATCTATTATTTCCGTTGATCAAAATAAAATGTAAAATAGAAATATCAAAATAACTGTTTAATTCTGTGATTATCAGTTAATACCCAATTCCTACCCTATCCCTGTCTGTGTAATAATAGTATATAACCCCCATATATAACATTGATTTATTCTAATTTGAAATTAAT